TATTTTACAATTTTGAATTGTGAAATATCTATTTTCCTTCTGCAAAAAGAAAAATTGGTATATTTTTCATAGCACCTAAAGATGTATGTACAATCGGGTTAAAGCTTAGTTCACCATCTGAAAGCCTCAAAAATGTTTAGAGCTTTGGTGAAACTTCTCCCATCACGACACAACCACAGAAAACAAATTCTCCTAAAACCAAATCCAAACAAGTCATCATTTCATACTTTCATCTTCTAACCTAAGTCTTGACGCAAATTCACCTAGACCATCCCAAAATTCTCGTACCAGCACAATGTACTTGAACTAGTCAAACTTGGACCAACCAAGAAATATGGAAAAGACAAGGGCAACAGGCAACAACATTATGTAGTCAAAGTTATTTCCTAGAACAATTACTTCCTAAGACTTCCATCAAGTCCATAGAGTTGAGATGAATATATTTTATTTTTTTTGTATAATTACTTACAGAAGGAAGATCTTTACTGTTCCAATCTTTTTCTGAAATGCAGAGACAAGTCTCTCGAATGTACAGTACAAAAGACAACAAGGTACACTGTAGACTGTACATATGTGAGAAACATACAACTAGCTCCACGCTGCCAGGGTTAAAATGTATCATAATCAGCTTATTCTCTGTTTCGAGGTGTGCCTTTGACACCATAACCACGAGAAGGAACAACAATCAGCATAAAGAGTGATTAATTTGGTCTTATGTGATATTTATCTCAACTCTTTCCTGACTTACCCACTTAGACATCAGGTTGTTAGAAATCTGAACATATGAAAATTTCTTTTAAAGATCAAGATAAAGATTCTAAAATCTAAAAGAGTAGGGACACAAGTGAGAAAAAGAGGCATATTAGGGAACTTCACAGCCAAGTTTGGAAATATATCATATTATCACACCACTTGTATAACATTTTAGGGGTGACATCAACATCATAATCGTAAATATTTGGTAGAAACCAAAAGCACTAATTGACTTAGTCATAGCTTAACCTTAATTTTTGAACCTCAAGAGATCGTACAGAGTGTTTCTCCTCTCAGACATCAATTCATTTTGCATCATTGGTCATTCGTAACTTTTTCTTGAAATCAAAGAAATTTGATTATGATTCGGATTCTTGTACTCTTTGGACGATCCGTCTCTCCTTTCTTCTTTCCAAGGCTTCACTTATTTTTTACACATTCAGAATCATTTCTCAAGGCATAAATTGAAGATAGATCCTCATTGCTTAAAATAGCTCTAGATGCAAATAAAGTAGTAATGAGTCTTTAGGCACAGTAATCACATAATGTAACGGGATGAAGTACACCAAGTATATAAAACAAGAGTAGAAAAGCATCATAATGGAAACAGGAAAACTGAATCTGTGGTTTTTGAAACTTAACAACACTAGAAATGATGTAATATAATGATGAAAAAAGTAAGAATGCCAGTTCGGTCTCACATCCTAAACACAATGCTAACGGGCTGCTTTTAAGGAAGAACGAAAGCTTGAATAGCTTACCAAATTCGTGCCAAAGGCGCGAAACAGAGCCGGCACGGACCACATCAGCTGGATCATTCAAACACATCAGGATGTTCAGAGACACGTCAGTGTCAAGCCATTGCACAAAATCAATATGTGTCTCCATGGAACGACCACAGCGTAATCCCCTAGATCTATTCAATGTTCCAAAACCTGAGTCTCCAGCAAACACAAAAAATGATGCGATGAGAAAAAACCTTCAAAAAGAGAGAGAAGTAAACGACAAGGTTATCCCCTAATCTAGGGAATTCAGGGTTAAATCAGCAAACATACCCAAAATAGATCAAATGCATGAACTTAACTACCAGCTTATATTTGTGCAATGGGTTAAAAATGGGTCATGAAAATGTAATCTCTTAAGAGGCTTCCAAAGATTGAAACTTTCACATTAAGTCCATCATTCAACTCCGCCTCAATATCATTAAGTCGGCTACATGAATCTTCTATATCCATTCCGCTAAGTCAATATTCAGATAAAAATCTCATCTTTCACAAAATTAACCATTTCTTTCCTAACGCAATTACCAAAAAGAACTAAAAAATGAAAAAATCCACCTACCCGAGAGGCAAGAAAGATAAGCATATAAAAGATTTAAATATAACAATCTAAAATACGGGATTAACCCAACAAATTCAAGAAGGCTAATTGAAAAAAAAATAACAACCAATAAGAAGGAGTATAAAAGGAAGAGATGTTGTACCTTTTGGATTGAAGAAAGAGAAGAAAACCCTAGAGAGAAATAGCACAACTGCATAAATAGAAAAATCTAGAAAAGGAAACTGTTTCCAAAGATAAGCTATTTTGGATATGGATTTGGTCATTATATTCACCCATACATTTTTCTGAAGCTTCCAAATTTTATTGGTTGGATAAAATTATTTCTCAAGTTTTCTTTGAAGCACTGAAGAAGAATCACTAGAATTTTGCTCTGCATTTAATTAATTAATTTATTTATTTATTTTCCCGTTTTAATTTCTTTGATCTGGACATCTGGTTCGTGGGCCGGACCTATTACGTAGATGTATCTTTTTTCGCCGAATTGTAGTCGTACTCTATATTTGTGTCACCTTTTAATATGTACCATATTTTTAAAAATTATTAATTTGGTAGTAAGATGACAACAAATCCGTAATAATATGACAATTACACCCATGATAGTATTAGCATTAGCATGCTACTTTGGAGATGACCTCATTCGCATTAGCATGCATACCGTAAAACAAGCCCCGATAAACGTAGCAGCATGCTAGCGTTTGGAGATGACGTTGTTTTACAGTACCAGGGGTTATTCATTAGCATGCGAGATGGTGTAAAACTTCAGCCAATTACAGTAGCAGCTGAAGTTGTTTTACATTGAAGTTAAAACTTCATGCTAATGCATGCTGAAGTTATTTATCCTACGGCCAACAGTTTTGTCATGAGTTTTATCCAAAACATTAGTCTAAATATGCTGAAGTTATTTAGTTCATTTGCTAAAATTTCAGACTAAACATGCTGGAGTTATTTAGTTCATTTGCTAAAAATTCAGACTAAACATGCTTAAGTTATTTAGTTCATTTGCTAAAATTTCAGACTAAACATGCTTAAGTTATTTAGTTCATTTGCTAAAACTTCATGCCAAAACATGCTGAAGTGTTGTCCTGCAATCTACAGTTTTGTCAATAGTCCTGAAGAGCAAAATCGTCTTTTTAAAACGCTTTTAACAAAAAAAGGGGTACGGATATAAACGGAAAAACAAAATGGGTATAAGTTAAAAGGGGGCGACCAAATAAGTCGCCCCATGCAATTTTTACTCTTTTTTCACGTACATTTAATTTCTTTTTCTTTTTAATTTATATTTTGACCTATAGTGAAATGATGGAAAAGAATAAAAAGAGATGATTGGATTAAGAATCTGTTTGTGCACCTCCAGATTCTTTTTTTTCTCTTCACCTTTTCAAGTCTGGGAATCCAAAAGAATTGAATAAACAAGGAATTTAGGAATGGTAGGAAATTTCCCTCGACAACAACGTGACTAGGAAATTTGGTTGGTGAAGATGATCATGGACCCTCCATATTTTTTGGATATTGAGCTATATATGAAAAGAATAATTATCTCAAATAGAGATCCATCCACTTAAACTAGAAAGAGTCGTTGGAGATATAATATGTGCATAATTTATGTATTATATATATATATATAATTGTGTATAATTAATGTATAATCTATATATATGGCTAGAAAAAGTAAATAGTGAATATGACCGGCTATTTGTGTAAGGATCCCTTAGTTATATTAAATATTTCATTTCCTTTTATCTTTCCTGAGCCGTGGATCTGCCAGAAACAACCTCTTTGTCTTCCTAAAGATAAGGATAATTAAGATCTGCGTACATATTACCCTCCCCAGACCCCACTTGTGAGATTACACTGAGTTTATTATTGTAGTTGTTGTTGTAGTATATTATATATTTCATTATCTTTTTGAAAATTAGATGTTATCATAGTAATTACTATCTAACGATTTAAAGATAATATTTATTTTGAATTTAGTATCTCTTCGACGCTCTTCCTTCGCCATCACCAGTGCTTTGTGACTAACGGTCACTGACAAACCACACCGGCAACCAGCAGCGACGCCGACGACCCCACCCAGGCAGGTAAGCCACCCCCCTCTCCCTACCTCTCATCCCCATCTCCAACCCTCCTCCTCCTCTACCCCCACCAGATTTGCGGTGGTCACCCAGCAAACTATTTCCGGCGACCCATTTTCTCCTTCCCTTTTTAATTGTCAGCCAGCAACCCCCCCTCCCCTCCAATTCCCCTTGCTACTTACACCAGTGGTAGCGGTGACAACCCTTTTTTGGTATGTGGTATTTTCTGTATTTTTAGGGAAATTCTCGGAGTTTTTGGAGACAAGTTGGGCGCAAGCGCACAAGCAAAGGAGAGCAGCCTGGGCAAGTGTGAGCAAAGGGCGGTGGGAAGCCGGACGTGAGTGTGCAACAACATCGAGTACATCAAATCAATCACAGGTTTTATTCTCGAGAGTTGGTACCTCTCATGTTACTATTTCCTTTTGGTGTTAGCTAAATTGATGTCACTTTAGTTCGCACTAGTTCAATCGTTCAACTAGTGTGCTAGTAGTTACTTGTTTCCTTCTAGTTTGGGCCGTTGATCATTGTGTGCTAGCGAGTCTTCTTTAGCTTGTCATAGGTGCAGTGGTTGTAGTCTGGGATGATAGAGTAAGGGCATGTCCTCGGGTGGGGCAGAGCGTAGGGCGGGGGCCAAGGGGTGGGACGGGAGGTGAGGGAGGTAGAGGGGGAAAGGGAGCCTATAGGTTGAGAATCGGGTCATGAAACATAGGTTCACTAACGAGTAAGTCTATAGAGTTGGCAAAGATCCTCAAAAAGTGGAAGATTAATATAGTGTGTGTTCAGGAGACTAGGTGGGTCGAATCGAGGGCGAAGGACGCGGATGGGTATAAGATGTGGTACTCTGGAGTCCTGAGGGGTAAGAATGGAGCGGGTATCTTGGTAGATAGGCATCTTAGAGAGTCTGTGGTAGAGGTTAGGTGGGTGAATGATAGATTAATTAGTATCAAGTTGGTGGTTGGTGAGTGTACTTTAAATGTCGTTAGCACGTACGCACTGCAAGCATGCTTGGATGAGGAGATTAAAAGGCACTTTTGGGAGGAGTTGGATGAGATCGTGCGTAGTATTCCGTATGCCAAGAGATTATTCATAGGAGGAGATTTCAATGGTCATATTGGGTCGTCTACATGTGGTTATACTGAGGTGCATAGCGGCTTTGGTTTTAGGAAGCGGAACGGAGGGGGCGCTTCGCTGTTAGACTTCGCCAGGGCATTCGAGCTGGTAATTGCGAACTCAAGTTTCCCGGAGCGGGAGGAGCATTTGGTTACTTTCCAAAGATCGGTAAAGATGACCCAGATTGACTATCTCCTCCTCAGGAGATATGATAGAAGATTGTGCGATAATTGCAAGGTTATCCCAAGTGAGATCCTCGCAACGTAGTATAGGCTTTTGGTGATCGACACTGGTATTATGATAAGGAGGAAGAAGAGGTCGGTACGAGGTCGTCCGAGGATCAGGTAGGGCGCCTTGACTAAGGATAAAGCTCAGGAGTTGGAAGGAAGGTTATGGCTATGGGAGCTTGGAGGAGTAGTGGGGATGCAAACACTATGTGGCTAACGATGGCAGGCTATATAAGGAATGCGGCGAAAAAGGTGTTAAGGATATCTTCGGGTCATACCGGTGGCCACAAAGAAGACTGGCAATGGAATGCAGTTGTCCAAGGCAAAGTAGAAGTGAAGAAGGCAGCGTACCTATAGTTAGTAGGGAGCATTGGCGAGGAGGAAAGGAGAGCAAACAATGAGATATATAAGGTAGCAAAGAAGGAGGAGAAACTGGCAGTCTCGGAGGCTAAGACTGCGACTTTTGCTCGTATGTATGAGAAATTAGGGGACCAAGGTGGGGAGAAGAAGTTATTCCGGCTAGCTAAGGTGAGAGAGAGGAGGGCTCGAGATTTGGACCAAGTAAGGTGCATCAAAGAGGAGGACGACAAAATTTTGACGGGGGATGATCAGATTAAGAGGGGGTGACAAACCTACTTTCAGAAACTTCTAAATGAAGAAGGGGATCAGGATATTACTCTAGGTATTGAGGAATGCCAGCAGTCTCCATGACTTTAGTTGTTGTAGGCCCATTGAGGTCGAGGAGGTCATGGAGGCAATGCGTAAGATGAGTAGAGGCAGAGCTACCGGGCCTGACGAAATTCCAGTTGAACTTTGGAGGTGTGTGGGTAGAGCAGGCTTGGAATGGCTGACTGGGTTATTTAATGTTATATTCGAGTCGATAGAATGCCAGAGGAGTGTAGGTGGATTACAATGGTTCCGTTGTACAAGAACAAAGGTGATATTCAGAGTTGTAAATATTATAGGGGTATCAAATTACTGAGTCATACCATGAAAGTTTGGGAGAGAGTGGTAGAAATGAGAGTGCGAAGGACGTGTCTATTTCAGACAACCAGTTCGGGTTCATGCCGAGACGTTCTACCACAGAAGCTATCCACCTTATAAGGAGGATGGTGAAATAGTACAGGGATAGGAAGAAGGAACTTCATATGGTGTTTATCGATTTGGAGAAAACATACGACAGGGTTCCTAAGGAGGTTCTATGAAGCTGCTTGGAGGCTAAAGGGGTTCTGACTGCCTATTTAGGGTGATTAAAGACATGTATAATGTAGCTAAGACTCGGTTTAGGATAGTAGAAAGCGACTCAGAGCATTTCCCAGTTGTTATGGGGTTGCACCAAGGGTCTGCGCTCAGCCCATTCCTATTTTCCCTAGTGATGGATGCACTGACTCATCATATTCAACGGGAGGTGCTGTAGACATGTAATTTTTGACCCTCCCCGTGTTTTTACTCATTTTAGATTTTAGATATTTAGTTTAGGCCTAATATCGCTATTTTAATTATTCTTTGACTCTTTTACTTTATTTTAAGAACAAAAATTGAAAATTACAAAAATAGTTCCATATTTATCTATTCAATTCATGCTTTTAGAAGGATATATTACTTTGAACCTATTTTGCTTTAATACAATATTTGAAAATATCAAAATTAGTTTCAACTTTAATTTTTAGTTTTATTTTAAATATAATAATTCATTAAAATCAATTAAGAGTTTTTTTTATATATTCTCATAAGTAAATTAAATTTTTAGCCTTTTCTTATCCCGATTTGGTAGATTTAGAGTCCAATTCAAACCTAGACCCATTTTTTATCTTACACTAATACATAAAATACTAGACCCTTTGATCTTCTTCTTCTTCTTCCTGAGACAAAAACCCTAGAAAGACCTAAACCTAGAGAGACCCCAAGGCCAGCTGCACCCCACTCTCTCCTTATCTCATGCCCAAATGCCATCCTCATCTTCTTCTCAAAAAATACGCCAGCTCCTGGCCCCATTCCCATCGCCGCTGCTTCTCTGGTTGCCCCCCAAAACGACCACCCTCAGATGACCATCACTCCACATCTCTGCCACCCAAACTCTCCGAAAAAGGGAAAGCAGTAGCCACACTATCTTCTGCATCCACAATGCCGCTATGCCGCCACCAGACCCCAGCTATTGAACCCTAGGTGACGCCCCCCATTCTCTAACCAAGAACACAGAAACTCCACCGTTTCACCTCCATTCCTTCAGCCTTTCCAGTTGCAACTACTGCAGATTTACTGTTTTCGCGTCAAAGGGGGCATTAGATATTTTTAAAGTTTTAATTTCTAGTTTAGTCTAAGTGTTTCGGCGAGCTTTGAAGTCGTCGAAGGTCGTTGTCCTAGGCCATTGTTTATTCGCATGTCGAGGTTCCACCAGCAGGGTCTGCGGTTCGAGGTTCCATTTTCCTGTCAAGGTTTCGGTACTAATATCTGTTGTAAAGATTAATTCATAGTCAAGTTGTCCTTGGTCTTCTCATTAATCAAATATTGAAGCTTTGCTGCCGAAGGTTCAATTTATGTTCCCTTCTTTTCCTTATCATTTATTCGGATGATATTTTATGCTCTTCATTATCGTTTTTGTGCCGTTTAGCTCTACCTTTTATATGGATGAATTTAATAGCTAATTTCAAGTTTTTAGTTCTGTTGCAATGCCTCCTTAGAAGATTAAGTTTCTAAAGCTTTAGAATTAACAATCTAGTGATAAGTAAATTAAATTAGTAAATTAGATAGATGGATTGGTGGCTGGAATAAAAACGATTAATGAGCCGACACCATGTTTAATTCACCTGGTCTTTTATTTCAAATTGATTGTACATATTTGACTGTTTTATCATCGTGTTGGATATTTTGTGTGCTTGATTGAACAAGTAGTATGGGCTTTTAGGTGATTAAGGTCTTAGAAAAAAAATCTTTGGAACAGGACATGGGATTGGGTATTAAAATGAAAGAAGATTTGAGCTTATAGGTTATTGCTTTATTTATTTTATTACTCTGACCTCTAGGAGCATGTTAGGCCCGTCAACACCCGGGTAGGCAAATTATAGGTCATTTCTTCTATTCGAATTGAGGCGAGAGATCATTCCTTTAGTTTATTATCCGGGGAATACCCCGCGAAATTTGTATATATTTTATCCGGGGTATGCCCCGAAGTATTTGTATTTGGAGGCCAAAAGTAGAACTCATAGTATTTTTATTTTTATTTTTATTTTTATTTTTCTTTTATTAGGCGGGAATGACCTCGAGCCTCGTTTGTGCTTATTTATTTATTTTGTTTTTATTTTTACCTCAATTTGAATATTTTAAAAGCCGACTAGATCAAGTATGCAACCGTACTAGTTACGGGACTTGGGGAGTGCCCAACACCTTCTCCCCGGGTCAAACGAACCCCCTTACCCGAATCTCTGGTGTAGACTTAGTTTTGGAGTCCAAAGTGTTTAAAAAGGAAAAATCATTTTTATTAAATGGTGACCTGACACACCGAAACCAATATCAGGTGGTGACTCTGAGTTATTTCCTTTTGAACACGATATTTTGTCACTTTCAAAATTGAAAACACCTTTTTGAGCTTCGAAAATCTTTTTATTTATTTTAGAGGGGTTAAGTAAGGTTGTAAAAAAAGGGTGTGACAGGTGCCATGATGTATGTTATTTGCTGATGACATAGTTTTGATTGATGAGACAGGAGGCGGCATCAATGAGAGGCTAGAGGTTTAGAGACAGACCCTTGAGTCTAGGGGTTACAAGTTGAGCAGGACTAAGACGGAATACCTAAAGTGCAAGTTCAGCGTCGAGCTGACGGGAGTGAGAGTGGATGTGAGGCTTGACTCTCAAGTCATTCCCAAGAGGGGTAGTTTCAAGTACCTTGGGTCGGTTATTCAGGGGATTTGGGAGATCGACGAGGATGTCACACATCGTATAGGGGTGGGGTAGATGAGGTGGAGGTTAGCGCAAGAGTCTTATGTGACAAGAAAGTGTCATTGTTGATAAAGGGTAAGTTTTATAGAGCAGTAGTTAGGCCTGCCATGTTGTACGGGACTGAATGTTGGCCGGTTAAGAACTCACACATCCAGAAGATGAAAGTAGCAGAGATGAAGATGTTGAGGTAGATGCGCGGGCATACTAAGATGGATAGGATTAGAAATGAAGATATTCGGGAGAAGGTGGGCGTGGCCCCCATGGAGGACAAGATGCGGGAAGCAAGATTCAGGTGGTTCGGACACATTTAGAGGAGGAGCACCGATGCACCGATGAGGAGGTGTGAGCGACTGGCTGTGATGGGCACAAGAAGAGGTAGAGAGCGGCCCAAGAAGTATTGGGGAGATGTGATCAGGCAGGACATGGCGCGACTTAGGATTACTGAGGACATGGTCCTTGACAGGGTATTGTGGAGGTCGAGCATTAAGGTTGTAGGTTTGGAGGAAGTTACGAATATTTCTACGGCGCACCCGAGTAGGACTAGAGAGTTAGGATTTAGTTTTAGGATGCTAGTGGTTATTTACTGATGCATAGCTTTATCTACTGATTATTATTGTACTTTCCATCTATTTTGTATTTCCTATATCTGTTATTTTATTATGACTCTATTGATGGTACTAATATATCGTCTCTTGTCGTCTTCTTGAGCCGAAGGTCTCCTGGAAACAACCTCTCTGCCCCTTGGGGTAGGGGTAAGGTTTGCATATACATTACCCTCCTCAGACCCACTAGTAGAATTACACTGGGTAGTTGTTGTATCTATAATTATCAAGTGTAAGATTGGTTGGGCAATCAATTATGGTTGTAGCTGAATTCCGACCATGGCAGCAACTTATGAACACAACAATGTGCACATAATATTTACATAATAAGGGACAAAAATCAGAAAAAAGGAGGGAAAATTAATTACAAATGAGACAATACCAAAGACAAAATGAGAAAGAAAGAAAACTATAGAAGAAGAAGAAGCCAGTGTACCACTGCCAGAATAGCAACTGCATGCATGCCAAAAACTTGTGGGGATTAGCATTAATCTTGAGACAAA